GCTTCCAGTTATATCAAAAGTAAAAAAAAAATAAACATCCATATTGAGAGCATCATTTCACAATAAAATAATTTGTTTCCAATTTCGAAAATCTCATACTATTACTTGCAGTAACAACAATTCACTTGATTTCTGTATATTTGGTACATGATTTTTTTTTTTCATGCACAGCACCATACAAGTTGAAACACAAATCCAAAAGAAAGCATAGCTCAGGAAAGGCCAACAGATTAAGAGATTCTATAACAAAGGGCAGGAAGAGTATCACAGTGAAGTCTGAAGTCTAATAATTGCACAGAGTGATAATTCATTTTACTTTTCTTTTTCTGACTACATTTCAAAAGTTCATTCTGGTTCTACCAACATTTCCACTCAGCTGAATCTAAGGCTGAATGCTTGCTGTTGCTAGGATATAGCTACTGCAAGTTGTACACCAAATGCATACAAGCAATACTTGTTTCTTTGCTCAAAAAAAAAAATCAATTACCTGATGAATTGTAAGCATTTTTGCAACACTTCCAAAAATCTTTAAAATGCCATCCTGCCATATCAGTGAGGCCTATGTCTGAAGCAAAGCTACAGTGGCTTTTGCTTGTTCAGTACCTTGAGATGACAGAATTTTCAATTCTGAAACATTGTAGGAGAGATTGAAAACTTAAGGTAGAAGTAAGTGGTAGTAGGACCAGAAAAAAGGTGAACATGCAAGTCAAATTGCATAAAGCATTCAAGCTCTCAATTCCCTTTCGTCACTATATTAAAAACGAGCAGGTAATAGAAGTAACAGTGTTTAAAATATCACATAACTTTATCTCCTAGTTCTTCTATGCCAGAAATAAATACCAGAGAACAGGTATTACAAACCTAGCCCAGGGATAACATGTTCACAGTTACTCTGGTTAATTCTTACAGGCAATGAACCTTAACAAGCATATTTTTAATACATACTTAATATTTTAGATAGGCCTGTCTGTCTACCGACTGGGATTATACGAAGATAAACTCTCAGAAAAGTAACTGGCAGTGGCCATGCAGTGGAAGGGACCACATTCACCCTAAAAACATTCCATACTGGGGTAAGAAGATGTCTTGTTAGCAAAAATGCAGTGATGTGGCTTGCATACTGCAAAAAATATTAGTAATTACTCATATAGTAAAGATTCAGTCTTAATTACTGGCTTACAATACCACAAAGCCAGAACTGTATACTCATTTACCTATACTAATATGTATATGCTCTTTGCTAAGTAGTAATTTTGAAATATAGTTAGATTCTGATAACTATAGTCACAGTTCAAGAGTGGTGCTAACAAAATAATGCTAGTATTTAAAAACTAACTAGCGGCAGAATCGCTCTATTCTTGCCAACTGAACTTAATTGGCTAGATAAAACAATTCAAACATTCTTGTACTTGAACTAAGCAACTGTGATAAAAACAAGTTAAAAGACAGCCAGGTTGATGCAATGTAAGGAAGATGTATTTGCTTCTATTTAGCCCTAAAATGGTATGACTTCTATTACATGAGAAAAAAAAAGGAATTTTCTTGTGTGCATGCTGCTAGAAAACACCATAACAAATCATAAAAACAAGTGAGTAAAACACCTCAACACACTACCCTAGGGAGGGTATAGTAACAAGGTGGCTTCATAATTCATGTTTGAACAACTGTTTCTAAAATTTTTGTCCATCCAGCCCACCTCTGCAATAAAGTGGAGCACACTGTAATGCTACTGCAGCACAGTGGAAACCAACCCGCTGTGCTTACCTGACAGCAGTTCCGCTAACAATCTGCTCTCAAAAGGAGAAAAATCCTTCAATATTTCTTTTTGAAAGGGGGAAACTTATTTTTACTCCTCATTGGATTTAACACCCAGAGAAGTTGTTTGTAGTTGGAATATTTCAGAGGCTTTGAGACAATGAGCATTTTTCTAATAAGTGATTCCTTTATTGAGTTGCTAAAATGGATTCAGACTGAAGGTGTCTTTCCTACAAAATTATGACCATAGTCTCACCATGATGACTATTAAAAGAAATATGACAAGATCATAAATTACACCTTAAAAACAGGGAGTCCAGCATTTGAAAATAGTTAAAAGTCCTTGCCATAGCACCTTACGTGCACCATTTTATCACTTTTTTCCCTCCTATCTGGTGCGGTTTTGCGGGTTTTTTCCCTTTTTTTCTCTCTCTCAGCCAAGGTAAAAGCCAAAGCAGGTTTGGGGAGCGATGTGAGCAGCACCTGCAGCAGCGGGAGCCGAGGCTGCCCGGGCCAGGAGCGGCCGCGGCCCAGGCCTGTGGGCCGGGATGAGGAATGATGTCGGTGCGGCCGGACAACGGTAACCCTGGCAACTGTAACCTGCAATTCCTGCCTAACCATTGTGGGATTTATTGTGGCAGGGGCCAAAGAGGCCAAGAGTAAAATGAAGCAGAGAACTATGGTGTCTGACACATCTAGTACCACACACTTTAATCATAGCTGGCAGAAATTAATTCAGGAGGAATTTTTGCAAGGGCCCCCCGTACGGCCTGTTTTGTTGCTGCTGCTGCTGTTCTGGCCTAAGATAATTTTTTTAAGTTTTTTTTTTTATGTTTAGTACTTTTTTCCTGTAATTATTTGCTGTTTGGAATTTTTTTAGTGACTAACAGACATGTCAAAATTAATGTTTATTAATCAGACTACATTAAGTTTTGGATCTTTTTCCTTTTAGATGAGAAGTATTCAATGTGTACCTTCAAGTACACATACTAAAAAAAAAACACATATATAAGACTACATTTGCTACAAAGGTAGATTTTTTTTCCCCCAAGGCCAACACTGCCTAACTTATACAGATATTGGTCAGTAAAGAAACTTAACCACATTCTAAATACAATAAATGTAAATCAAAAGGGACAAGCTTACGTACTTCAATAACCTTTACATGCCACTGATTAATAAAGGTATTTTTTAAAACTAAATTTTCAAACAGCTTGGGTCCAGCACTCAGTATCCTGCAGCAAACAGCAATCAATGAACTGTGATCTAACCAGCCAAAGTAAGCAGTCAAAATCTATTTGCCTCAGATAAGCACTCACTAGGCTGTGGTCATTCTCTGTGCTAAGGTACCATCCCTGATGCTACACAACGTGGCATGAGTGGGCATGCAGGTCACCAAAGAATGCTCCTCCTTGCAGGAATACTACTTGTTGAGCAAGAACTTATCATCCCAGAGGACTTCAAACAGCACCTTTAAAATAAAGGTATTGCATCAAAACAGGGGTTCATGTACATTGTGTTTTGAGAGACTGCTTGCAAGGTAAGATTAATATACCCTATAGAACCCTTCATGCTATTTTTAGCATTAGGTACTTCCTACTGAAATATTTATGTCAAAACACCTCTGTAGATAGCTGTTAATGGGAAAATCAGCTTATGTTTTGACTAAAATTATCCATTTTAACTAGTTCCAGGAGATTTCTTGGAAGGCTGCTAAACTGGAAAGAAAGTAGCCTGAAAAATAATTTAACCACCTTTGAAATTAAGTGTCTTTAGACACAGAAAATAATGCACTGTCTCTTTTAAATTCTCAACCTATTGCTTTCCTTTACTTACACTTCCCATCTGTCAACAAGTGCTTGTAATTTTATTACACTGTCCTGTAGTTTATGCAGAGTTGGTATTATTTTACAGAGTTCTGTTAATGGACTGGATAAATGGTAATGCTATTTAAACTAGTCTCCTGCTCCAGCAAACACAGCTGCAACTGTACTACTATTTCTAGGCAAACATCTTGACCTGAACATGCAGTGCTCTCTCAACCCGTCCAAAGAGAAATTGGAGCAGACAGCAAAGGGAAAGCATAGCCGTCCGCTGGCGGCAACCAACTGTGTCGAATCATAATTCATATACAGTGTAACCTCTTTCTTTTATATTGCATTTAGCCTACACAACAAGCATATGTGCTTCTTCACCTGGCATCTCATTTACAGCCAAGGGTCAAATGGTAATTATTATTCACAGAAGCTCAATAGTATGTTGAAACCTTGCAGTACACACATAGTTTGATTAGCTGTTAAATGCCAAAAATAAACCCAAAGCAATATACATCTATATTATTTATCATGTTTAGAGAACTTTAATTCTCCTTAGAAAAATATTTATTTGGATGTAAATACATCTAAGCATACACAACAATATATGTAAAAAAACAAACCACTTTATACTCTTCAAAGGGAACAAGATACATATTAACTGGAAACTGACAACAAACATTTAACTAACATCAGTTAGTTTTTAATTACAAATTTAGTGCTAAGCAGCTGTAGTTTTTTACTATCATTCATATTTTCTTTTAAACATGAATACATTATAACCAGACATTCACTTTCATGGTCTGATCAACAATAACCCTTAGGCAGAGGAAATTTAATACTGTGAAGCCAGTGATCTCTTACTTTCCTCCATATACGCTATGAGCAGTTGTGTGCTTTATGTCAAAGGACTTCATAGATTTAAGACTAGCATCTATCAAATACACAATTCTGAAATAAATACATTCAAATATAATTTTGACTTCAGTCTGTATCCATTTTTTGCCTGCAAATTATGGCTCATTTCTATTTTATATGAATCTAGGTAGCAACCATTACACTGTAGGCGGAATAATAAAATGATCATAAATCCCTTTCATTTCCTTCCTGATAGAAGTAATGTCTTTATCCCAGCTGATGGAAATTATAAGAGACTTAATTGTTAATATATAATATCATATTTGAATATATTATAATATTATAGCACAGCAAAATATTTTTTTTTTTCAGGAAAAAAGCCTTCAGCAGCTTTCTGGCCTAGTCATTTAACAACTCATTACTTCTTTAGGGAATTTCTGGAAACAAAGTATACATTTCTAGCAAGGGAATAAAACAAGATACACAAAGATAAATGTTTACAATAATAGGAGTAATTTTCAGTTTGCTATTGTATATTGCTACAAGAAGAGAGAAAAGAACTATTATTTCACAATAATAAAACAAAATCAACTAAAAAAAGCATCACATTTGTTCTCAAACATAATTCCATGTACTAAAGTAGAAACAAGAGAAATACTGCTTTCCTCCAACTTCAATTTTCTTTTTCCAAGCACACAAGTGATGAAACCCACCATTAACCAGCAATTTCAACAGCAGAAATCTCACCTGGAGTCTGAAGAAATGTATCAAACATATCTAAATTAAAACACACTGAACTAGTACAACCTTGCCAAAGCCTACTTAAGCTTAATGTCATGTGTTATCCCTTCCATAACACATACTGTAACTTAAAGATACCTAATAATCTATTTTGTTTAATTAAACTACATTCTAAACTTTATTCCACATTTCAACTGCAACAGAATTAAGTGGCTTATTAGAAAGGACAATGTATCAAAAACATGTATTTTAAAATATTGGCTAGAGTAAAGCATTATCAAACCAAGTAACAAAATCAAAACAAAAAATATTTCCTTGATTTGTTGTCATTTTTATTTAAGCAAAGCATTTGATAATTTTTTCTTCCCAGAGCCTGAGTTACTAGCTTTGTTTTCTCTGTGAAGGGACACAGGAGAGAGTTGTCTACAGACCTAGCATTTGCCAATACTATCATTTTTCTGGCCAAGTGTGTATGGCCACAAAAGCAGAACATCACAAAACCAAAGTGCTTATACAGTGCTGCATCTCTGGGTCAGAATCTCCACAGGCATTTTTTAGTTCTTTTAACACAGAAACAATTAAAAATAAAACCCAAACAGGAAAAAAGGAAAATCAAAGTATTTTTTCAGAAAAACTTCCTTAAAGAAGTGGGAGAAAATGAAAATATTCTCATACAAATATCAGTATCTGACCTAGAGGTTAAAAAAAAAAAAAATTTAAAAAAAAACTGAAAAGCAGTCAAAGAAAGTAAACAGTTTAAACAAAATACCAATGTTCAAAGACACTTTTGAGCCCGATGCGAGACAAAAGGTAAAAATTTTAATGCAAGACACAATAACAGACCAAATCCAAATTTTCCCAAATAATAGTTACTGGGTCATGCCTACTTACAGCCTGTATAACTTCGGCGTCCCCAGAAAGAGCAGCTCAGAAAGCAACTGGAGGTTATTTCTGTTTAGGCGCCTTTGGAAAGAAAAAGAAAAAGTTGTGTTAAATTACAAATGCTACAGCAATGCAATGCAACCACTTTGAGTTGGAATCCCAGTGCTGTAACAAGCTGATTTTAAAGACCAGAAAGGTCCATTAGCGGAGACATGGTCCAGTAGTAAATTTGCCATGGACTAATTACATTTTCTGGTTTCCCCCAACAGACCATATTACCTATTTTATGAAAGATTTTGAATCTCTGCAGAGTGAACCAATCACTAAGTCAGGTCTCCGTCCCACATAAATAACATGAAAGCTAAAAACAAAATCAGCAGTATAAATTTAATTCCCTACCAACTCTACGTTCCTCTTAGTGTAATGGAGCAAATAGACATTTTGTGACCATGAAAAGGTTCAAGGGAGCATGTATCAAGCATATAAATATAAATATATAAACTTTCAGTAACAAGATAATACTATGTCCAAAGACCCACATAACCTATTCATATAAATTTTTAAAAGCATAGGAAGCTGTTACAGAAGCCCTGATTAAATAGAAGTCAAAAAACCCCGAGGAATCACAGCTTCTATTTGGCATTTCAAGTTTTTTTGTGCAGCTTTTTTTCTTTAATTGTAAAGATAGGAATTTTGAAGAAGGTACATTAAAAAAATCAGAACTCGATCAGATGTACATAAGACAGTGTACAACAGAAAAACTGAAACTGAAATCTGGAAGGTGCCCATTTGTCTGTGAAGATTCTCACTGAGCATACTGACCAGGGTCACAGCTGCTCACACTGAGGTGACAAGATCAAAGCCCTCTGTATTATACCCATAGACAACAGAACAGCCACTAGCCAAGGCAAATATATTCTACCTTCATGCTTTTTTCTAAACATACAATGCAGATTATTCTTTCTGCCATGTGTAAGTGACAGCTCTGGAGCATACTGTCATCCCAGTCAAGAAGTCAAGCCCTAAACAGGTTTTTGGTTATTTTTAAGCAATGCATCCACCACATGTGGCACCTGCTATTCAAGCAAAGCAACCTACTGGAAAAAACTCTTGTGTCCCATAAAATTTATCACAGGCCAGTTTCCAATTCACAATCCCTCAATAATTCAAGGCATTTGTGGAAACCAGAATGCATGGGTCTGTCTGATATATACATATATATGCACACACACACACATCATATATATATATGAAGATAAAATCATTACAGTGGTTACAGCTACATCAATAAACTGTTTCAAGACATTCCACTAGGTGAAAAAATATACTGGACATCAGTCTTGAAAAATTAAGTTTTAAAATTTCATAAAGGCTCAGATTTTCTTGTTTGTTCATCTTATACTGAACTTAAATATTTAAGCCTGTTTAGCCTCCCTGGGCTAACTTCTCAATAATGTTCCATATAATGGTCTTTCCAGTTTAAAGGTTTTTCCAGAAATTCCCACGTAGATACCCAGAGACATTCGGAATCAAATTTTACATAGCTCCATGGTTTTAGTTCACTTAGCTTTTCTTCCCTTAAAGCTCAATGTGATGGGAGTGAAATATTCTGTTTAATATTTTTATGCAGAGGTTTGTTACCAGGCTTCAAACACAAGCAGTCATCTTTTTGAGTTCTAGATATCCATAATTCTCCAGTGTTAATGTCAGGTTCCTTTCTGTTAGTCAAGCATCAGAAATCCTTATTTCTCTAAGCAGAAGAAACTTAAATCACACTTTTAGAGATTAAAAGAATACTTAGATTGAAAGAACCAGAAAATTAAAGACTACACCACTGGGATAAGAGAGGAGTGACAATGCATTCTAATAATTAAGAAAAAAATATTAATCCAGCAACAACAACAAAAAATCTAGATTGTGATCTTGCAAGTCATACATCCAAATAAGTAGAACAAAAAATTTACATATAAAAGAGAGCTATAAACTAATGACTCCTGGAAGACTTCTGAATTGAGCACTACTTAAGAAGAAAACCAGCCCTACATAAATACAAGAAAGTGATACATTTTACTGTTTCTGCATTTACTACATTTTCAAAATAAAATAATTTAAAAATAGACATTTTCTGACCTTTAGTCAATTTATGTATAAAGGTACATGCCAAGATCACAAAACTGAAGTAGATGACAATTGTTTTAAACTAAGTTATATTTACAATCCAACAAGATTTTGAAAATTAAAGAAATGAACAAATGACTAAGTAAAAAACAGAAGAAAAATTCTTTCACTGCTTCTCTTAGCTAAATAGAAACATAAGCCTCTAAGTCCATGATTACAGATCCAGAATTACATGGAAAAGCATGCAGAGCAAAGACTAAAAAGTCAGTCTTCTAATCAGCTTTTCAGGACAAAAATCTCTGTTGGTACTTCTTAATAACTAGTAAGTTTAGATACTAGACAATAATGAACTGTTACCAAAAGGGCGGTGAAATTAATCAGTATCTGTATTTTTGTAGAAGTTTCTGTAGTAGAAATTTCTCAGTATCTGGTTTTTTTGCATAATATTACATAAAAACCTCTCTAGTACAATGACATAATATTAATTAATGATCAAGTTCATCAGGCAGGCTGCCTTTCAGTCAGTGCAGCAACAACCTTAAAGGACACACAGGAACACTCCGAAGGATACTTCACAGGTAAAATACTCACTCTGCTATTTAACATCTTATACAAAGAGTTAACATCTTCCATCAGGAGCTTCTGTTATTACTGCAGATCATATACCTCACACAGCTGAGTATACCTTTAACATACTGATGCATCTGCCACTCCACAGCACTTTCAAATCTAAGTCATGGACAATAAATCTAGTTGCATTAATTAAACTAGCAATAAATAGCTCTACTCTCATGCCTCAACAGTTTCTACCCTGTGAGCTTGGAACTTCAAATTAGTGTTTCAACACACGAATTTACTTTGCCTTTCACAAGACTAAAATATTTGTTCTTTGAGCACTACACAGATTGAGGGAATACACAAGTGAAATCCCTTATGAATCCTGCATTTCGTATCTTTTATTTTGAATAGCTTTATCCCACTCACTGAATATTCTTTTAGTACTAAGCTCTCTTTACCAAAAAAATTGAGTATTCCTTATTGCCTGTGACCAAGAAGATTAAACATTAGTAATTTTCATGAAGGACATAGTGGGAAATATGTCTTTTACCATACTTCAAGAAGATACTTCAGCTATCTTTACATATTACAAGTTATAGCAAATGCTTTTGAAGGAGTCAATTTACTTGAGTTATCTATATGGAGATTTTATGAATTAGACTTCACTGAAATGTATTTTTCAAGACTACAGTAGGTAGTTCTCTACAAAACTATATGCAAACATAAGTGAATGGGAAAAAACTGTGCAGAACAAGTCTGAAACAACAGCCTAGTATCACAGTACACAACAGTTTCCCATTCAACAGTCACCATGAAGAGTTTGTAATGTTTGGAAAAAGCCACACAATGAGTCCAGAAAATACATTACTATTTTAAAATGGCTCACTATTTTATATGGTTCCCCAAAATTTACACTTTTCCAGGTGACCTGATGCTTAATTTTGTCTGGAATCAGAGTGAAAAAGATATGATCCCCTTTTTCTCTTAAATGGAAACACAAGGTAAGCACAGTGGATCATGGAATACAAGACTGCAGGTTTTAAAGAGCTACAGCTACTTTGAGTAAAAACAACCATAAACATTCCACTACACCTCCTTCCAATGTGTGGTGGCAGACACTTAGCACAGTTACCATGATTTCCCTGGGGCAATGCGAGAATTTTCAGTTTCACCAACTGAACCAGAACTGACATGAAGCTCAAAGTGAAGCACTGAAGAAACAGTGATGAGATATTACATACTGTGACTATTCAGTTTTCCAACTGAGCAACAAGTATTTGTGTTTCTCAAGCAGAGAGCTCAGAGCAGATGAAGCATTAGTGGTGTAAGCAACAGAAAATGTACTGGAAAATCTATTTTAACTTTGCAATAACTTGGACTGTAAAGTCCTTTGGTAGTCTCCAGAAATAAACAGATGAGGCACCAATATAATGTATTTCAAGTTACAATTTAAATATACGTAATTTTTTTCTTCTGTTGCTGAATGCATCTTTAGAAAGAGATTAGGCAAACTTAGGTAAGTTTTTGAGCTCTTCACAATGAATTCAAGCAAAGTCCACCTACCTAAAGTATAAGAAGTATTTCAAATACTTCAGAGTTTGAAACTCCCAGAGCTCAGTCTTCTAGACACATTAAAGCACCTTCAAAGTAAAATGATGGTTGAAATATTCAAAAGGAATTAAAAACAAATTAAAAATACCTTTGACAAATGAGACTGTGAAAATACTCATTAAAGGAAGCTCAATACCAACAGGCAGACAAAAAGTAAGACACAAAGAATAAGTAACTCTTTGAACCAGACAAAATTAAGGCAAGCAAAAAAAAGTGGCTTGATTTAAGCTAGTGGTTCTGAACAACAGGCTATTTGAGTTGAAATTAGTATACATCTGAATTTTATTTGTCTTCTGCATGCAGCCAGAGTATATGTAGATGACAGCAGACAGAGGTACAGTGCAGGGAGAGCACATTACATTCCCAGTAGAAACATATCCCAACCCATTGATGTCTGTACCACAAGTCCATCCTGATGTCTCTCTCAAGTTTTCACACCACAATAACTATGATCCAGTAGCAATCAAGCATGGAGGAGGAAAGGAGAAAAAAAAATAAATCTTGATTGCCCTGGGGACAATGTAATCATCTGCAATTGCTATAATTCACACCCATTTGTTTCAGACTTGCTACGGCCTTCATTGTAACTTGTTTCTGATCCCACTATATCAACTACATACAACCAGAGAAGGTGTAGGAGACTGTAGAGCCTCTCTGGAAAAATGAGTTGTGTCAGTGCTTGACTGTCCTTGCAGTGAAGAAGTTTTGCCCTTATGTGCAGTTACGCTTCCCAATTTGATTTATGCTTGTTGGCTTACCAGAGCAACAAGCCCGGCTTGAGGTTTTTCATAACC